ATTTACATTCTCTTGCCTTTCAAGCACTTGAGAATCCATTTATCCATCGCTGAGTCTTGATATAAATGTGAGTTTAATTTTGTTCAGTGTTGTATCTTCGTTATACACTTCCCATAAACCCAAGATGTAGACGACCTATGAACATTTTAGGTAAAATTATTACTTGAGGTACGATCACCATAAATGAAACTTTGTATCTGGTATAAACTGTAAAAGTTTGGTGTCTTACGAAAGCACTAGTCAACTCCCAGAAGTGTAAACCGAATATTGAACTCGTTGGATTACGTTGTTTGCGCAACGTGGGCACATTGACGGTGAGATAGCCTAAAAGTTGTGCCGACGTGGGCTGATCATTATAATTTACGTAAATTGTCACGTCATAGAATGCCATTATTAACCTGCGTTCAATCAACGAATCAAATTTGCGCATACTTCAAACCTCACCGTCATAAACACAAAAGAGAAAATTAGGCGTGCCGATATTGGGTTTTAAAGCTGGCAAAGAAATCAATGGAAAAATTGACGATTGCCATTCTTACCAAAACGCTTTACAATTAAATCAGTTTAACAAAAAACTAACAAACATCCTACGTAATTTATAGGATCCTGCAAGTGTGTTCCTTATTATTATTATTATTATTATTACAAAAACGATTAACTCTGCTTGTCGTTTTGTCAATTTCATTTAACGAGAAGCAAGGGCAAAGGCATAAAGAGTGTTTCGATGCGGAGGTCCTCAACGCAGGCAATTCCGGAAAAAAAAACAATATATTTTGCTCAAAAAATCGCGTGTGTTTGCATATCTATTATATGTTGTTTTATATTATGTTGCAATAGGATGTTATGAACAAAATTAAGAGACCGATCTGTCGGTTATCTGCGTATCCTGTATGCTATTAGTATACGATCAATCGGTTCAACCTTCCGGCATTTCCTACTTTAATGGCTGGTATAGCTTCATTAACTGTTAACTGTTAATTTGTTTATCTAACGCGAAACCAGCTTCAGTACTAACTATATGTACAATATATGTGGGCACACATCGGAAGTGACTTTTTTCCTATTGCAATATATTTTCTACTCATACATCGTAGTATTTCATTCGCAGTAGTTTTAAACATACGGCTCAAAATTTGCATCCACAATATACAGGATTTCGAGACAAGCATGAGCTAGGTCTTTGGACGGCGCGCTTCCTTGGGCTGCACTAGTTTCATTGCTCAGGTATCATTCATCTATTACAATGTAAGCTTATAAAATGATTACAGCAAATTTCTAGGAAAAAAAGCAAAATTGCTAGTTTTAGAGCAATCAAAACGTTTATTTTTAGTGGATGGACAAGTCCCACAAGTATCATTTTACATTTCACAAAAGGCGAGCAGTTACATGATAGCCCATCATGTTAACGCAGAAATCCTTTTTCTGCACATGTTGATTTTTCACGAATTTTTCATATGAGTTCTAAAGGTATCGATGCAAATGAACGCTTATGGCCTTTACTCAGCCGATTACAAAATAAGGCAAAACATTAATGTTTCCTTTTATCGACATAGAAGTTGGTGACCTTCGTCTTCGGTTCATATTTGGACAAACTTCAAGAAAAAAAGTGCAGCTTAGTTTACTACTATTTAGTAACATTTCTATGATGGTGTGTCTATAAGTCAATATTACCTCATACATTTGCGTACAAAAATTTTTTCAAATGACAGTGGGGCGCATAACTGTAAATTAAAATTAGGAAGCAAAGATATGAGTTGAGCTACCAGTTGCTTCAGCTCTAGCCTCCATTCTCTAAATTGGTCTGTTCTTAGTTAGTTGTTTTGCTTATGCTAAGCGTACTACATTCATTTGCAGGGCGAAGTTGCAAGCAGATCTAGATGATGTCGGATCAGGTTCAGATTGGACGGGCTCCCGGTAGTGCACGCAGGCCAAGGCTTTGGTTCCAGCTAGCACTTATGTTGACGCTCTTATTGAGCACGCATACAAGCGACGCCGACGAGCATAGCCACACGGTTTGTTGATCATGCCCACAAATATTATTTACATTGAGCTTCTAACCTGATAACTGGAATTTTGTTAGGCATACTAATTTTAATTCGAGGCAGTATTACTTTTTATTTATTTATTTGATGCTTTCGTAACAAAAGTTGTGAAAGATACTACTTGTCTTTGAGTGAAATGTATTAATCATCTAAATGTATGGGTACCTATTTTATCTGTTCAAGCACATCCGCCGCAAGGCATAAGCCACTCAGAGTATCAGTCATAGACACATCACAAATAAAATCCTGTAGTCATCAAACAGCACAAGCGTCTGTACGTCTTCCCTTCTGTGTTTTCCGTCTTGAAACGTAGTCCAGCATGGCGGCACCAAACAGATGGGGTTTTTGCTGTGCTAAACGGCGAAGCCAACATTACTGTTTATCTGTGTATGCCTCCTTAATCGGCGTCCGCGGCATAAGAACGAGACAAACTGTAGTAATCAAGGAAATCCTCGTGGACTCTGCAGTAACGTATTTGAGGTCTCAGTTCCAAAAGGGGACCGGCGTATATACACAAAAAAACTACTGCCGGAGTGAAAACCGTTCACGGCCTTCTTTAGCTGCCAGGGCTTCAGAAAATCCTTGACAAAACGTATCTCGTGCGTCATACTACTCTAATTATTATGTTCTCGTAATCTGCGAATGCTCATAAACACGGACCTAACTGCTTTACATTAGTGAAATTTATTGTCAGGTAGATACCAGCAGCCCTACGCTGAAGGACAAGGCCCATCGCAGGCCAAATATCTAAACGTTTTATGCTAATTGGAAGCTCTGCTTCAGGCACAAAACTGTTTCCGAGTTTTGTAATGAGTAGTACAAACATTGTATTCGATTAAAAGAAAGGCTTGTGTTTTGTTCGTTTTGAAAACACCACGTCATTTATTCTTGTGAAAATAAGTCATGTTATCGCTTACGACGTTCTCTCATCTTTCTATCGGATAATATGTGCTTTCTTGTTAGAGGATAGGGGGCTTTGTCTCCAAGATGTCCTCCGACCATATTTCGAGTTGCTGACTCGCGTCGAAGGTAAAGCTATGAGAATGATTGTCCGATGAACGGAAAAGGTAAGAATCCGTCGACGCAAGACTGTAGAGTATGAGGAATACAATAAAACCTTCCATTCGAGATCCAAAAGGGCAACTTTGCAGACCTTTTACGTATGTGGTTTTACGTTATCATTCAGCAGGATCATTTGACCTTGTTTGTTGAGTTTTTTGATGTTGAATCGCCTGGTTGACTCGATACAACTAGGCTTAACAAGTGGGCCGACCAACTACCTGGCTTGTAGAAACCGATTCCCAGTGAATCACATCCTTACAGTCCCACATAACCTTTTTTGAATGTGGATTTGACTGGACCTTGGCCCTTGGCTTCATTTTTGGAGCGACCTGTTTCGATCTTTCGTTTATGTTGACGTGCAGACATTATTTGTTACAATTAGTGACGATTCTGTGCAAGTATTGGTTATTGTGGCCACGTCACACTCGATATTGGATGAGATGTTAACATCCAACGTCAAGCTGTAATTCCCTTTTTGATTCAGAGAGTTCATGAGGTAACTAAGCTCAAAGTTTCTATGTAAAATCAAAAGACTCAAGTGGTAAACAATAGTCCTGTGGATGACGCCCGCCTGTTTATCCGGTTCTTGAGTTATCTGTCGTTGGTTTTCCTTTTACAGATGTTCATAATTAATCTCAGACGGCTGGGTAGAGCTGTGAACTTCGTCTAGGTCCCAGATGCCATTTTTTGGCAAACCGTTCTTGAGCAGTCCTTTCAGCGATAGCGCCATTACTGTACAAAAGGCTAATCCAGGCTGATTTAGCAGTATCTTTCCCGTGATACAAAATGCTTTTTTTTTTTTTTTTTCATTCAGAATATCAATTTTTGAGGAGTTTTGAGGAAACTGCACTCACAACACATATCATTACAACACGCTGGCGAAGGAAGGAGAATGCATAAATAAATAGAAGTGATAAAAGTTTTTTTCAAGTACTTTTCTTTGAATCTAATTTTTGGTGTAATGTTTCCGTATCCGGGGGGTAACCTTCCTAAATTCTATTCACCAATGGAATGTAACCCTTGCCCACTAAAAGATCTTAAGGAAACCTCGAAGCGTCATGCGTGAGACAGTAAGTCTCCAAATTATTATTTTATTACTGTCCGAGAAACAAAATAGTTTTAACTACTATCTTCACATAATCGTTCCTGTAAATAGTCAAAGATATTAGATAGTATATCAGAACGTAGGTTTAGAGCTCTTGACCGAGTCTCAGATTATTTAAGCGAGCAACATGAGATCATTGTGTAAGGCTGTTCTTATTTTGGAATTATTCAAGATTCGATGGTTTTTCATATGCGTTAGAGGTATTCTTTTCCTCAGCTCTGGCAGCCTTAGACGTAATTTTTCTACTTATGCCTTCTTGAAGTAAACCGGTAGTGGGATATGCTTGCCCACACCCTTAAATGCTATTCAATAGAACTTTTTGTCCGAATTATGTGTTGAAAGATTCAACACACGTTCCTACATAAAGGTGATGTTGTGCGAGCGCCCCGTCCTGTTGAAAATAAAATTTGCTATTTACACCAAAGCTCCCCCGAGTGCGTGGTCAAACAGGTTCTACCAGTCAATTCAAGTAACTGGTTCCAGGCATTAAAAAAAGGTCCAATTTATATGGTGTTTTCGCGTAACATGTAGATTTATAGCTGTTTAGTAAGTACAATTATGTCGACTAATTGTGCCACTTAGTTTGAATATAGACTGTTCGCTCCAAACAATTCTACTCGAAAGCTGTGCATCCTGCATACATTCTCTTCAGATACTATTCGTAAAATTGCTTCTTTTAGCCTAGGTAGTTTTCATTAAGACCTTATGTGCTTAAATTTCGACAAGAACATACCCTTCTCCTTCAAGTCGCGTTGTTATTTTGTTCTGGAAAAAAACTGGCATAGCTTATGAACAAAGTTTCGCTACGCTATAGTTTCTCATGTTCAATGGACCAATCCGCAAATATATATATATATATATATATACTGGGTTCGACCTATATGTCGAATGTTTAGGCTTTGTCTTCAGCTATGTTGATGTCTCAGATATGTTTGTCCGATATTCCTCTCTCTCAGTGGGATTGAATAATGGCTATTGGTTTAGCTAGATAACCTTGATTACGCAGCTGTGTGGCTACGCTAAAAATATTATGATCATCTTCAATTAGCGGTCAACAATATCTGAGTGGTCTTCTGAACATCATACATTTTTTTTTTAATTCAGAATGAGCTATCGAGCACCTTACTACACGTTAAAACATTGAACTTGTCCGGCGCTTTATCACAGTGTAGTGGTTACAAAAACATTAATTCTTGGCGTGATACAAGAGCTCGAAAACAAGCGTATGAAAATATTCGAAATAATCCTATTATGTTATTACATTTGTAACGAATATAATAAATATGAGGAATCCAATCGTTATGAAGTGTCGGAAAATATGAAGCATATATGAATATGTAGGCATATACATGAAAATGTCGAAGTCGCCTTAGATGGGACCTCCTGATGAAGACGGTACAACGGTACGTTATAATATTTCATAGAAATTGAACACAATAACCCCTTATTGCGTTTTACAGTATTTCGAGGGAGAGGAAGTGGTCTTGTGGGTTAACACAGTTGGACCATACGCCAATCGTCAGGTAAATATGTCACTGCTCTATTTTCTGAAATTTATTTATGTACTACCTGGAGTTTACATATTTATACAGCAAAATAGTCGACTACGATTGTCAAATAAGATGTAAGGAAAATAGGTTTTTAGTTGCCTTTTTTTTTATAAGTTTTTATTAGGTCAGTATTCTTATTGTGTATCACACACGACGATCTCCCTTTTTTACAGCCTATTGCTAGTATTTTCTTTTTTTTTGTCAAAAGAAGTTTGCTTTTTAGATTGGGAACCTTTTTGAACGGGTGATCTAGTCAGGATTGAAATTTACAGGTTCTCTGCGGGGATTGTTGTCTGATTTGTTTGTTTCAATGTTATAGTACTGCATATATTGATGTTTCAGTCATTAGAGAATCTTCCATTAAATCACGTTTCTAATCCCATAGTGACCAGAAGAATGCACGCTTTTCAAGCTCTGTGGCACACATCTTACGTATAACTTGTCTGGGCCTACTTTGGCGATAGAGTTTATTGCGGACATCTACGGGTATTTTAGTGATCCAACAATTTTCGTAGTTGTTTCGGATCTGGCTCCTTATTCTTTTTTGATTCAGTGTGTTCACGGAAGCCAATCATCAAAATATTTTTTAGCTCCGAGTTTTAATTATTTTGGGTAAGGCTTCTAACCCTGCGTAATGTCACAAGTTTTAGCAAAAAATTAGGAACGTCAAATAGGAATCCGCGAAGCAGAAGTATTAAACGGAGCTTAAAGAAAGATTCTTATTAGCTAGTTTGTTTGTTGTGTCCGTTGTGTTTTTGTGCTTGCAGGAAACGTATTCGTACTTCTCGCTGCCGTTTTGCCCGGGGCCAAAAACAAGAATATCCCACTACCACGAAACACTAGGGGAAAATTTGCTTGGCATCGAACTACAATTTCTTGGTCTTGATATTCGCTTTAAAAGTGCGTTTGCAAACTTACCTCACTGTAACATTGCAATGAAAAGTTAATGTAAAGAATGTATTCTTTTTTACTGAAGGATCGAGAATCTATTAGCCCCATTGCGTTTTTTCCGTTTTGGACCAGCTTATTTATTATTACTAATTACTAATCGTATATCATATATGTTTATAGTTAGAATACATGACAGCATATCGTCGATAAGCCCACACTTTTAATACTTCTTATCATCTGCAAGCAATGGCTTGGAATTTGATGGTCGTAGTGGTACTATTATTTGGATTTACGTCTCTTGTGGACATGCTGTATAAATATACGTTCGCGCACAGGCTCTTTGTTTATTCTTTGGTAGCGTGGTTTCCCCTCGTCTTAGGTCCTTAAGTAGTTTGCATAACATGAGGGCGTCAAGTACAATACATATTAGTACCAACGATTGTATCTGTTACGGTCAAAGATAAGCAGAGTCTGGCAATGAATATATACACAAAGAACCTAAGTTTGATACTGGAGGACGCGCTGAATCAAGCATATCGGTTAAACGAGTCAGTCCGGAAAAAGAAAAAGTTACAAGGAAAAAAAACAGAAAAACTTATTTATTTTATTAGCCGAACACGTCATTATGCACCGTTCATTAACGTAATAGCCAAGGTATCTTCTGATTTGGTTTGCTCGTTGTTTTAAACCATTGACGACGATCACGCTTGTAAGGCTCTAAGCAAGCGCGTTGCATTACTAATAAACCAGTATATTATTATGAAATATCATGCATGATTTTGTCTTATTATGACAACAAAAGCAAGTGTAGTATTTCATTATCGTATGACGTACTACCCTGACATATTCAAACAGCGGAACAACAACAGTGTACTCAAGCTATCTATGTGTTGTGATTGAAAGAACTCATGCATATGAACCTAACTGTGTTTTTATTCAAATAACTTGAGGATTCAAGGGAGTTATTTTATTAGAATAAGGTGAGTTCTTCGAAAAACTGTGAGCAACAAACAGACCTAAAGTTCTATGAAAATCTGTTATGATAATCGATAGTAGCGTAGTTATTTATTTTGATCCTTAATATCTTACCGAGATAAAACCGTTAATGATTACCTTCACTGGCTTCATAATTTCAGAGTCACAATCAAAAGCGCAATACTGTGAAGTTGAGCTTACAAAAGAGTCTTTGAAGGTAAGTTGAAACTATTGTAAATCAGTTATAAATGTACTATTTTTTTTGTTTGTAGAAGCAAAGATTAAAAATATATCAGCAGTTGTTGCATAGTTTCGCTGAAAAATGTGCTAAAAAACGTAATTGTATTAAGGAGCCTATGAGACTAGATAATAGGAGTTGCGAGGAGCCGGTAGCTGATTCCATGAGTAATGAAAAAATTAGTTGTTTACATGTAAGAGAAAGACTTGGCCTATATAATGTATATGAAGCTCAAAAACCGTACATCATTGATACGTAAAAGAATTATGTTTTGATATGAGAACCGCATTGTAAAAGACGCTGAAACTACTTCAGAGTCGATTCAGATTTAGACCTCTGCGTCACTGTAAGTCGCATGTGTCCCGCATACTCAAAGTAGTGCTTAACAAAAGTTCCCTTCTAAGGAGAGCTAAAACGTATCTTTGAATCTGTCAATTGTCGTGTTATTAAAGGAAGATACAGCCTCCACAAAGTTGTTTTCTTAATGATGATAATAGAAGACTGCAATAAAAAGGGCCATATCTATCTAAATCTTATTAAGTGGTCGTCAGCAAACAATAAGATAAATGTGGCTAACTTAAGAGGGCATGTTGACGACAGCGGTCACTACGATATACCAATCGGGATGCAGCTTATTCAAACATACAGAATTTTAACCACATCAATAAAAGACGCCTAAGCTAGCCGATTTGGCAATACTAAATACTACAAATGTTTTACTAAACAATTGCATTTATCCTTGGAAATTTAAGCGAACTTGAGAGTAAGTTCGCGTTTGTCTCGGCTCTGATAGGTACAACAAGTTAGATCTATTTAAGATGGATAAGAATCTCTACGTAGCTTATGGCATAAGCATAACCGAGTATCGTATGGTTCTGAAAAAAATTTGAATTCTAGTGGATTTTCGTAATTATCCAATCACCGTAATGAGTTACACGAAGCTTGTTAATTACGGCCAAGTTTGGCGTCGAAATCGCTTAAAACGCGCCATCCTTCATCAGCGAATACATTCAAAATATTTTGAGACCGCAGGATCTATACTGCCCCGAATTATCGTCCTTCAAATTGTCGTGCTCGTTTACCAACACCAAGTAACATGCTCGCTATTTCTATAGTAAATCTTCTAAAATTCAACTGTGTGTCGATCCGGCCTAATCGCCCTGTTGATTCGTGTGGTACGTGGCACGAACTTCTCACCAAAAGATCTGCAATAATAACAAAACTGCTGCGTCTCAATGCGTGGCCGCTTAACAATAGCTGGCACCCGCAGCGCGTGACAAGAGTACTATGTAATTAAGCCATATTTGTGTAACATGTAAAAAGCTTTACTGTCGCTACAGCTGGCTATTTCTTTACCACGCGTGTGGCAACATAAATTAGGAACACATCACGGACCACATGGCCCGCATTTGTTTGTTACAATATACAATTGCAAGTTGTTGTCGCAATACAGTTGCAAGTTAATACTTAGCGGTTCCAACTGGAAAAATTTCAATAATTGATGGAAGATAAGTAGGTTAACAATAAGTTACATGTAAAAAGAAATACTTGTAGACAACAGTTATTGAAATGTGTTTATTCTCTTATAATATAATCTCAATAATAGCGTCATCAATCTATCACGACCTGAATGAATGGTCAAAAATATCTATTCAAAGACAAATCTTGAACGCTGAGCTAGATGTAGGCATACCTGTTTATTTTGGATTCATTATAATATCAATCAAGATATGTAATCTACCTTATGTCTAGAATATGGCGTCACGTCGCTTATCAATTTAGTATAATGCGCTCGAGTCCTTCAATGCCTGAAATCTGCGAGACGATAGGTTACTTATAGTAAGGGAGTTGAATGTTTTGGAAGTGAGCCAAAGCAGATGCCAAGGGGAAGTCTCTCTTTACGATAAATATTACACATCTAAATTTTTTTTTAAGTAAGCACTCATTTACTGCTGGAAATCATATGGAAATGCAACCGTTATAAAGACCAACGGATTTCGATTCACATTTTAGGCGTTCTTGTATGCCGTGAAGAGCACATATTGGTACCAGATGTTCATTGATGACCTTCCTATTTGGGGTAAGTATGTAATCTAGCATGTCTATATAAATATAGCTATGCAATAAATTCTGTCGTAATAAAAATGTTTTGCACGTATGTATGTACATGGCTTCCTCCTATATATACTGGAGGAAGCCGAGCGACTGATGAAACGTTCAACGGGTTTTCAAGCGTTAAGTGCTTTCTTCGAGTCGGGTTGCACGTAAGTTCACCCGGTTGGTGAATCACCAAAGTGTGCGACCCCTACGTAATATCAGCATTATCCGACACGATGGCGCGTTTGCGACATGAAACTGGGTCAGCCGATCTGCACAATTATCATAAATCTCCCCCGCAATAACTATTATATGTCGCATGAACCAGCAATCCATCACTGAGTACCAATTATCTTTGCGTCGCGAAAAAAAAAAAGAGAGCCGGCCTTTCGCATTTTTTGTTCGTGGCCAGGAGCATCCAATTGTGGGAAAAATTTTATTGGCATGACATAATCCGGAGAGAGATTTGGGTTTCGGCGGGGGAATATACCCGCATCGGCCGGTAATAGCAATACGCTCGATGCAAACGCCACTTTATTCACCGATGTGTTCATTGACCAAGGTAAAGTTCAGCGAATTATCTAAATTGGTATAAACAACCCCATGCAGGGCTTTAGTGACGTTGTTGGGTGTATAGGAGGCTTCTGTTCTCAAGCACTCTAGGTCAAGTGTATGGGTGATGGGTCGATCTGGTGTCTGGGCGGCGGATTATAAGTAATTTGTAGACGTGGAAAATGTTGAGCGGGATGGTATCGGAAAAGCTTTGCAACTGTCATAGAGTGTATAATATAATGTAGAAATAATTATGTGAAACGAGGAACGAAACGGTATGAAGGTTTCAGTTTTGTCTGTTGAAAACAAAGCCAAAAGTCGACTCACAGCACATACATGCAACTGGACTGATTTGAGAATTCTGTATTGATAGGTAACAATTAGTGTGTGTGTATATATATATATATATATATATATATATATATATTGCAACATCCAGCAAGCCGTAGATAAGCTTAGTACGTCAGTTCCTTTTACAAATAGAAATTCTTTGAGGCTTCAACAGCAAGAAAAATTGACTTACTGGCTAAACGTTAAACAAAATAAATTTTTTTAGCATTTTTTACCTTTGTTGATGTTGTGAAAATTTATTCATATAACATTTTAATTAGAAAAAGGATGTGTTATGGAATACTCTCTCAGCTTTTTGCCAGTTGGGCTAAAAAGGTAAATGTAAATTTGAAATTTCAGTTACACGAAGAGATGAATAAAAGATTCAGATGCGGTCATACTTATATATACATTTATGTTTTTACGATTGTGAATGTTGACTAAAAATTTATTTGACATCAATGGTTGGACCATTTTGTGGCGTTTGGAACAAAAATGGGGCAAATGATTTTGGGCTACATTTAGGCGCAACAGAAGGATATCATGATTTACTATTGATATCAAGATCCACAAGTGTTTGCTTTGAATCATTTTCATCTCAAAGAGGCCACAATAGATTTCTTGTCATGTTTTAGGATGAAATATAAAAGCACCTCCCGTAGAGCACAAGCTTAAACAAGGCGCTGTGCGGTGTTATCAAAAATGAGCCAGATATAAGTTTATTTCCTGCAGGCATGTCACCTACCCTATGACCAATCCACGAGCACAAGAAGAGGTGAAATTATCTTCGATAAGACAGCAATTGGTCACTATAAATTTTAGGTTATACTCTATGGAAGCTGCCCCGTTACTTTGCCAATAATAAAATAACAAAACTATTCCAGTTCTTGAAATAATCTTTGTGCGTTAGCTCGGAACAAGCCAGGAACCCCTGTGTTTCAGTGATAGTGTAGTGATGCCGTACGTAATACGTTCCTTTATACCTCTTTTATATCTAAGTAATTAAACTATGTAAAATCGACAGAATGGTGAGCGTGCTTGCGTAGCATAAAGTTATAAACAGGTACGGAAAAAGATATTCAAATTAACATTATTTCGTGTTGGTATCTAGGAATGGTTGGCAAATCGGAACCTGGTGAAGACGATTATATCTGGACACACAAAAAGTTTGAAATTGGATACAACGGGAACCAAATCGTTGACGTGAATCTTACGTCGGAAGGTACCATGCTCCAGCTACTTTAGCTAATTTTTCTATAAATGAACGATTTTTAGCTCAGTGTCAAATGTGGAGAATTTATAATTCCTTATGCATATAATTCCGGTCTCACAGGCATGGAAAAACTGGAGCTGGGAAAAAAACTCAAATTCACCTTCGAAATTGAATGGAAACCCTGTGCTGTGAGTTTTAGGGATCGATTTGACAAATATCTGGACCCCACTTTCTACCAACATCGGGTAAGAGATATTCGATATTTCATAGATCAGGTCTACAAATATTTATGAGCGAAGACGTTCTACCGATTTTTATCTGTTGGCTTTGCTTTACGAAAGTTCTATGTGATAAACGAAGGGTTTGAAAAACCCAAGTTCTGTAGCGCTCGGGCCAGTTTGTTTCACTGTTAACACCCAGTTACGATATAGGTAACCGTTTAGTAATTTCGGAACAAAATTCTATTCTAAAAGTATTCGGCTACAGGTGCCCCGGGTCAAAAATTTGGTAAAAGTTTTCTCGGCTTTTTCAACATCTCGCACTCGTCTGTCTCTAAACCCGAATTGCTTTCCACCGTCCTGTGTCAAAACTTCTTCAATTAATGGTTGGCACTCAGAGTGTCAAAAGAACATGCTTAAGGATTTGTCAGCTATCAACGAAGTCCACTACGATAGATGTGTATGAACGAAAAACTCGAGTGTAGATTGAGTTTTTTTTCCCTGCCGTGAAAATCACAGTCTATTAATATATGTTTAAATAGCGAACAGTTGCCCACGGTGTTGGCCTGCCGATTATTGTGGCAGTCACGCGCATTGGCAACGCTATGCATTTAATTAAGACAGTAATTAGAAGCATCGAGTTGGTCAACATTATATGCGTAAAAAAACAAATCTATATACAAACGTACAAATCGAAAGATAGTCAATACCATGTTGATTTAATGTAAACTATAGTCTTGCATTAAGAGAATTTGCTGTTGTCAATTTCTCAATACGTTTCTTTGCAAATAGGGAGCAATTTTAACAGTGGCGTTTACAGTATTTGTATGTTTTCGAGATTTCCTATTAGTTTTGTTACAGATTTTTGGTTCTAAAAGCTGACCCCCCCCCCCCCGCCGCCCCCCCAGCGTCGATGCGGCACCAATTATGAATATGTGATGAGTCGAAAGCGTATTAACTCAGGTTACACATAGGTGGACGTTAAACTGAAAGTTGTAATGATTGGAAAAAATGTGTGTATTTCAGCTTGGGATTGAACAGTGGATATCATTACTTTAGTATCTTTGAGCTTGTGCACTATGTAGTACGAGTGCCCAAATGTTCGCCTAAAGTCAACTGGTCGAATTTTACTTCTCTAATTCGACTTGTTTCTATTTGCTGCCAAGGCGTTCAATACGTCTTGAAACCTGATGGTTAGCCTAAAAAATGTTATTCTCTGGGTTCCTGAGGACATTTTTTTATCGCTATTACAGCTTATTATACCTACTTAATATCGTATTCTAAGCCTTTCACCAAACGGTATCAAACTTCCTTCTAATTTTATAAAATAGAGTATGAAAAGGGAAGGCCGGCAAATTGATTTTGGACTTTTTTGACTACCATCATTTCAATCGTTCAACCATTAGCAGTCGTTTAAGGTGCGTTTATAATAGAAAAAACTATTTAACGCCCTGAAAGGACACGATCGCACCTTTCCTCACAGCAACCGTCACTCATTGCGAAAACTATTGTTCGCCGAGTACGAGGCTACGTTGGTCTCAAACCACGTCATAAAAACGCTTTCTTTTAATAAAGTGTAATGTACTGATTACAGTCTGAAGCGTATAGCTGTGTAGTGTGCGCAGTAAAAATACATCCATGCATAAGTCAGCCTGTTCATATTTATCATGCTTATTCGAATTCAAAAATCAGAAATAGCATTGAAGTAACGGTTTTTGATCAGAGAGAGTCCAATAATAGTAGAGTGGACTTCATTAATCAGGCTTTTCTATCTTGTTTTCCAGATTCATTGGTTCTCGATCTTCAATTCGTTTATGATGGTAGTATTTCTAATTGGACTAGTAGCTATGATCTTGGTGCGGACATTACATAAGGATTACGCCAGATACTCAAAGGATGAGGAAATGGATGACATGGTAAGGCTGGCGCAAATCATCTTAGCACTCCGATGACAACACTTTCTATATAGCTTTTGAAATGAGGAAGTCGCAATGTGGGTACCTAAAAGAACGCAGTGTATGTGTAGTTTTAAATTTACTGTATATCCTTTATGCGCTTACCTTGTATCGACTTTTTCACTTACTAACCTAAAAACGGCTAACGACGTTATCTCTCGAAGAGATGCGTAGCTCATATTGGAGGTCTTTGTGTAGCAATACATATGGGTCTGTTCTACGGCAGAATAATTGATATGAATTTATTGGTCTGATGAAATGATAAGCTCCTTAAATTAGCTATGGCATGAGCCCTTAATGACATACAAGAAGTCAAAGGTAAAAGAAAATCCCGTTAACCATCTTCGAGCCCGGTTGCAACTAACTGCATGCTAGTGTTGTGTGAAATGTTAACGTCACTTGTTTCAGTCCTAAACGGCGAAGTCGATAAATACGCAATCATTGATATGTCTCCATGATTATCTCATTTATCGGCTGCTATGCTTTTTAACCACAACTTAGTTTATGAGGGCAGACGAAAGTCGCTGAAAGTGAGTGAGTGATGAAAGGTTAATTTTGGTTTTTGTGGTCTTTGAAAAACGACACTGCTAGCCACACAGAAACGAAGAAAGAGAATTGATTTTTCACCCGTTGATAACCGCATTTTATGCTCTTAATTGGGAAAACGAAAGCCTAAGATGAAACAAAAACGTTCACAACGTTATCCCTTATTGAAGTTCAATCACCTAAATCTTAAAACGCATTTTTCATAGTAAGGATTAATAAAACATAGGTAATCATGCTCTAACGGCTCGAATCGAGCTTTTGCAGAGCTGTGAGTCTGAAAAGCGAGAATGAGAATATTACAATACTGCTAAGGGATGACTAATTCGCTTAGTTTGATTTTTCGAAATTATTTTTAATTTCCTTTCTATTCTTTTTAAAATTCCAATTCAGGTGATTCCCACCGTTAATGAAAGATGCAGCCACTTATATAGTTTTCCAAACAGCTGCCAAGGCTCGGACACACGGCCTAGCGTGTACGAAAAGTAGTTACAACAAGTTAGAACAATGGTTAAGACAGGTGGAAAAACTTACCCTTAAGTACATTAAAAACTGAGTTATAAGCCGATTCGTTTTATGTGAAAATAGTTTCTTGTTCAAAGTAATCCACTGCCACTGACATGAGTACAAGTCGAAGAAGCATATCCCGGGGACCTTTTATGTGAGCTTATTATAGACAAGTTATGCGGTCAATTTAACCGTGATTATAATTCTTAAGTTTTTATAGGATATCTTAAGGAACCATTGATCATGTCATGAATACCATTAAACGGTGCTCCATTGGGACTCCACGTACATTTCCTCCTATATTTCGTCCATAAGAAAAACACTCGCTGAAATTATTTTCTTAAACTTTAATATGTATCAATATATAGTATTAAAAAATAAACTGTCTTGGTTATAGTACATCATTTTAGACCAAATGGAGAAAAACTAGATAGCCGATTTTGAGCTAACCTCAGAAATAAATATCTTGAAAACAGGACATGTATGATACTAATTCTTGCTAATTGATACTGTACTTCGTATCACAGTCTGTAAACCTTGGGGAGAGCTATGTTAATTTTTCACACAAAAAACGACGGCGAACACTCAACGAGTGAGAATGTCTGGGTTAACAGGTTTTAATTCTAAATATGGATATTGTACATACCCTAGAAAATTTCAAGACTTATTGATGGACCAGCATTTGTCTTTCAGGAGAGAGATCTCGGCGATGAATACGGCTGGAAACAGGTTTGTATTGACAATATTTTCCTCTAATAAATACATACGTGGCATTCTGCACTCCCAATCTGCCATCCCGATCACAAGTTTCAAAAGCAAGTATTACATACATACATTTTCTTTATGAGCCTATAAAAATGCAGACGTAATTCTTTCTACAGAAAACAAATTTATATATATATATATATATATAATTAAATGAGCTTTAAACTCATAGGCTTGTTTTTAACAAAAAAAAAAACTACATTATTCTGTAAAAATGTTTTAGGTTCATGGAGACGTTTTCCGTCCTCCACCGTATCCGCTTCTATTCACAGCTGCTGTTGGAACCGGATCCCAGTTGGTCGCTGTCGCTTTAATCGTCATTATATTTGCCATTGTTGGAGAACTTTACACCGAACGGTATATAGTTTTATGTGTAAATAATATAATTATTGGGTGTAACATAACGTGTGTTAAGAAGATGAAAACTCTATGTGAACTATAAGTGCATTTTCGAGCTCAAAAACTGTGCCGTGTATGTAAAAAACCTGCTCGACAATGGTCTGTTAAATTCAGTAATGGGATTTTAGGACCAGAGAATACACACCGCCTCGGCTGGACATATGGGGTCAATAGAAACCACCCGCAGTTCCGTAACCATCGATGGACACCGTAACTTTATAGGATTTATGTTATAAACAAAAAAACAAAATTCTCGAGGAACCATATAAATAAACAGTAGAAAGAATCACGGTTCTTCATCGCTTCTTAACGCTTTACACAAAGGAACAGGCAGCTTCCCATTAGTGACAAGAAATGGTACGAAACAGAAAAAAAAAATGCTTAGCTGTAAGAATTAAACTCAGAAATAGGCCAAATTCCATTTTACGAAGACCGTAATTTACGTTTCGTGAGTTTAGACGAGCCTTATACGTCAAGAAATGTTCGACAGGAATAGGGCCGTCAACAAGTATATACCCAGTTGCACTGACTGAAAAAGGGCATCTAAAAAAAAACTATAGATAAGATTTATTGATTTTTCGCCACAATAAGTAAGTCGAAGTGGGGAAATTTGTAAAAGCTCTACTAGAAGAGCTCGAATGGAAAACTCTATGCACCTATTATATTCTGCGAACGTCGCGCCTATCGCTTTTAGAATCATTGACTAATCAAATTAGTAACCGTACATTTTACGATAAAGGTTTTAAAGCCTGAACAGTGGTAGCAAAAGAACAATAGATATTTTTTATGTTAAAACTTGAGTAAAGCGTTGCATTTTTTGCTAAAAAAAATGATTAAGGAAATTGTATATTACTTTTTCTTCGTAGCACTTTGATCCTTATGGTGTTTCTATACATATGGAAATATTCTAATATTCTATATATATGGAAATAGTGATACTTAAATATATCAATAATATGTACTACCTATATTTCTATTTTGTATTTTATGAAGTAATATCTAAAGGTTTTCGGAAGCAAAGTACGTATCGAGTACTAAGCGCTGTAAATTCTATTATATATGTGCGCGGAACAGGAAGTCGGTCGTTCTAATAAGGGTTTTCGAATTAAGATTTCTATTTTCAAAGCCTATCAATTAATTTACATAGGAATCGTATTTTCAGATCCATTCCAAGTGTATTACTAATAAGCTTTTACTTGTCTGCGCGCTAAAATTTGCAGGGGTTCGCTCTTATCTACAGCTATCTTTGCGTATGCAGCTACAGCCCCGATCAACGGATACTTCGGCGGTAGCCTTTATGGAAAAATGCAGGTTTGTCCGCTCTTGTTTATTACATAGCGGTTTGCTTTGTATTTAAAAGAAAAGGGAAGCAAGAGTAGACTTCAACTTTTGAAGCAGGTGAACTTACAAACATAATATATGTCGTTCATTCTGGATAGCCGGATAAAGCTTGTCTTCATTAATAGCATGTACCATCCTAAACATTTCATTTCGTTTCCAATTCACTCCCACGTGTGCTACATTTTTATACTGTAAGTAGCATTTTGAAACGAACTTTGTTTATTCGAGAAATTTGTTAGTAATTTAATAATAATAATAAATATACCTTAAAACGGAAAAAAAATCAGTGCGTTCTGGCCCATTACAAGGTGAGCATATTTCTTAGAAGGCTTCTGTATATATACGAGTTAGTGTTGCTCAAATGCGTTACATTCAAAAAAAAATTTTTGGCGAACATTAATTTTGGGCGCAGTAAAAATAAAGTCCTTGAGAAAGGCAAATAGACGTAACAAGTTTAAGATTAACCGTATTTAGATAATTCTATTGACAGTTTGTATTCTGCTCTCAAAAACGACAGTTTATTTCTGCATGAAACAAACAAATGTATCAAAATAGCTTTTTACGATATTTTGATTAATTTTCGAGCCTTTTATCTCAATGGAAATTTTTTTGATATGCCTCATAGATTTCTTCTTTAAATTTTTGATAAACCACATGAGGACTGCCAGTTAATGACGGTTAATTTAGGGCAAAGAAGTTCCCAACCTTGTGGGAGGTCTATTCAGCGAGAAAAGATCGCATAGAAGCTGATTTCCACTTAAATTGCAAAAACGAAGTACTGTTTTCAGCCTCGGTGAGTTTCATTCTAGAAAAAACGTAGCTGTTGGACGCATTCTTGGTTCGACGAGCAGCCCGACAAGCTTTGACCCATACTCAATAAAGTACCTTGCGTGTGTATAATAGGGAATTCGAAGCACTAGGGGGCTGTCTAATGTGTAAGAAAGTGAATGCCTTTTAGAAAAAAAAAAACAACAAACCCAAAACGGCGAAGAACAATACGTCGTTTTTGGAATTTAACCAAAAATAAGCTATTATACAATATATTCACGTAGGGCAGACCTTTATCAAGGTTACAATCTTCCCTTTTCCCCAAATCGATAATCTGTGTTATTGCCAGCTTTCATCCGGTTTCTGCAATTTAAGATTTCCATGAGGCAAGATAAAATCATTCTCAAAAGAGTTTAGATTTAAAGTACCTGAAGATATATTAAAATAGTTCAAAAATCCATTTTGACACATCTGGATCCTTTATATAGATATTAACGGTCGTCTTGATAAGCAGAATATTAATTGTCGATCGGGTCGTCCATATAAGCTCCAACGAGTGGTCATACTCCTCTTTTTTGCATATTTTGTACTTATTAGGCCGTTTTGAGCCCTGGCATTTTCATGACTTTTAGCGTGTTATCAGCCCAAAATTTAAATATTTTCTTTATTTTTAATATTAAAATAGGATTTTTCTGTATGTAGCGTCCTTAAGTTGCACATTAAAGAGCTTACGTCTAACAACATTATTTAACTGATAATTATACTGATTTAATAATTATACTTAACAAAAATTACCGCCAGGTATATGCAAAAAATGTTTTTCAATAACTGTCTATTGAATGTAGTTTTGAAAAAGATTTACAGAAAAGTACAGATTAAGATGCCCGATTATGTAAATATACACATATACCACACTCAGTCTATTTGTCTAGTCATCGGTCCTCGCCCCACTTATTTGTGTTTTGTGTGGGATGTCCAACATGTTATTCTCAATCGTGTTTAACGTTTTTTTTTGCTTTAGGCATTTGACCTCTATTACATGAATCCCTGCTTACATCAAAAATTTCATGATCATCTTCGACCGGCAGTCAGCAAGACCTAAGCGGCATTCTAAGCTATACATGGGTGTTCTTGTACCCAAAATGAGCTCTTTTAGCTACCTAAACCCCTGGTAGTTGAAACCTAAAGAGCTGATTCAAGCATTTAGCTTGTTTAACGTATATTCATGATAAAGGTTACTGATAAACATAATACTTACAAAAACGCTATCATAATAATAAAAAAAACAAGAGTTAGGCAAAAAACAAATGTGCAAAATAATCCTAATACCTGAAAATTATAATAAACAGAATACATACAGGAAATCTGGTATGGTCCTATAAAGCCAGTGATCTGGCGCACTCATGCATGCTCGAAGGATATGAGGTAAGCTTGTTTATTTAAACAATTGCCTCAGATTATATAAAGTGAGAAATCTTGTAGCGCGGGGTACCCAGCCGCTAACGGCGCGTGGCTTAAAAGTCCACCGGATTGTTTTGTAATAGCTTAATAATTTGATACAACAGTGTCTTCTAGAAGAAGCAAAATCTAAATTAGTATGCCACTTGTACCCACAAAACAAATTAATAATACGCTTGCACGGCATATAACGTACATACTTTTGCGATACAAAAAAAATAAGCTGATAAAAAATGTACTACAAAAGAACCAGGCATTCATCAACAATCAACTGGTGTTTTAGGACTAAAGCAATAGGTTACCTCTCAGAGGTGATAAAGAGTTGTTTGAATAAGCACATTACCCAATGCAAATTAACCAGCGTACTAATGGCAATGATGTTTACTGAGAGTTCATTCAAAGCATTGTTTAAAGCCAAATTTTGTCTTTGAGGCGTCATGTGGAGTATCTTTTATCTGAGAGCACTTGAACTAATTTTTGCGAAACAAGCTAGCCCTTATCGGAGAAAGTCAATCTGAATATTACTGTTTCTAAATCGTTTTGAATCGATATCGTTTTCTTATTCATACGTCTTGTCATGGATATCCAGGGTAAACGTTGGCTTCGTCAGATGCTGGTCTCCGCCGCGGCTCTTCCTGGTGCCGTCTGTACTACAGCATTCGCGGTTAACTTGATCGCTATATATTATCATGCCTCCAGGTAATTTTTTTTTCACCGTATGGTAAGGTTGAAATCTATGTAATAGTTTGTGTGGAAATGTCTCATATAATTTTCTAAACAGCAATTAATTTAGGGAGTTTTATACCTGTTATAGTTTTCTTGGTCTGGACGGTATAATTTATTATACCATCGTGCCATTAATTATACTATAAACATCGTTGATAATGATGTAAGTTTTTTTTATCTTTCTCACGACAACAGATCTATTTAACTATAAACTGAAGATTTATTGATAATTATTTAATTTTGTTGTTCTTAACTTTTGTTTCCTGGTGCGTTTCTAGGGCAATTCCGTTTGGCTCAATGGTAACTGTGCTTTCGATCTGCGCGTTTATCGTTTTGCCACTCACATTAGTCGGTACAATACTTGGAAGGTAGGTTTCATGCAGAATCCAACGATTTGTGTCCGTGACGGTGCAATAGTAATGTGTTTATAGATTCAACTTAAGGCGCATGAAGTGGTTTAGGTTTAATGTGCGGTATATATATATGCACTTCGCTCTGTAGTAGGACACAAATTTAAACGTCTAGACATAAAACTCTTTTTTTTTTTTTTTTTTTTTTGTTTGAACGATTCAATTTGGTACTTCTGCTATTCGGATTTTCTAGACATCTAAAATACCTGGAAGCATTTGTAGTTCTCAACAAAGCTATTCTTCACCGATACTGCATCATATATATATGGATACGCAAAAGTAACGTTATAATAAAACAGCTTCTGAGGAATATTTTTTTGTTGAACTCCCACCAACGTTGAGACAAATTTTAGAGATAGCTTTGTTGGTCCAAAAATTTCACGCAGTCCAGCTGATTCATGCGAGATCCCCATTTATTCTATTTCCATAGTAGTTTATTTATTGGCAGTCATCATTTTAGTTTTACCTTCTACCCGTTACCCAAGTCCAAGGTAACCGCTGGAGCAAGGATCATTGTTAATGGACGCTAGAAGCTTCTAGTTCTCATTGGAATTTGCAATAGTTTGTTAAGCATTTTTAATACAGATTTTTTAGCATTTTTTGTGGAATTGATATGGTATTAATCAGCTTCTTATATCAGCAGTGTGTCACTGCAGCAGTCCTTATGTTTTGATCTCCGGGATTTGTATCACCCGAATCAACAGTTAAATTAGCTCAGAGAAGTGACACCCGGCAGACATTTGAGCAGGCTGCATTACGGTAACTCCTCAAGGTCGAGCCGATCGATGTTGCTGAAAATGTATGCGCACATACAACCCATAACACAAAAAATCCTTAGTTTTTCCATATCAATAAGTAAATTAAGGGTCGTTGTTGCCAACACTATTAAAGTTGTAGAATATTAATGCGTGCACTTAGTTAAGGGCTCAGGCGCATCATCCCTCTAGGAACAACTTAATGACGTTTAGCAGTGGTTATCAGAGCTGCTGGATCGAGTTCGCAGCCCTTTCGGAAAGCCATTCAATAGCCAAGGCATCCAGCGGCGAGAGGTTTGGTGGGTCAATCGTTACCCAACTGTTAATTAATTAAGTCTGGCAACTTTGGAAGATTGTTGACCCCCCTGTTTTTCTGTATATTGAGATAAAATTTTAAATTAGTATGTGCCGCATGAGTACGATTACATCTCACCTAACCATACCGTTCCAGGAAATACCGTTCCACTAAGGAGATTGACTTCATAACATAGTTCTATTCATGTTGCAGAAATCTTGGTGGAGTTGCAGCGTTTCCGTGCCGCGTCAACGCGGTACCGCGTCCAATCCCAGAAAAGCGATGGTTTATGGAACCGTTTGTGATTATCGCCCTTGGAGGCGTACGTATACAGTTAAACTGTTTTAGAGCTATTTTTTGGCGAAACTGTCTACGTGTCTCAGTTTTCCTTTTATCTTAACAATATTGTATATAGTTCTATGAACAGAACAGGTGTTAGGATTCCAAACACTTGCTTGTGACAAAAGAATTTTTTATAGCATATAAACAGGATCGATCCTGCAAGGCAGGCGTCATATCCAATCTGTAACGAAAACGCTTACTACATATTTATAAACATCGTATGTTTTCAGGTGTTACCTTTTGGCTCTATCTTCATAGAAATGTATTTTATTCTTACATCGTTTTGGGCTTACAAAATCTACTATGTTTATGGATTCCTTCTACTCGTAAGTATGTTTTAAACTCTATTGCGATTGAAAAGTGTGCGCAATAGTGTAGCATCAATGTAATTTACGAATTAGATACTTGACGAAAATTGTTGAAAGAAAATGTGTCATTATTTTTATCTATTATTTTTATTAGGCTTGGGTTTACATTATCTAAAGCTTGATTATTTAATCAACCGTCTTCATTCCTTTGGGTAAATGCATTTTTATTTTGTCTATAAATCCTACATAATCTGCCAATTTTTTCTCCGGCATAGGTTAATACAGTCTAAATACAAAGTAATTTCTCATAAGTACCAGTTATGACGCTTTACTTTTTAAATAGGATTAACCCGTAGGAAGCTCGTGACGGAGTGAAATTAATCATTTATTGTAAGGGATATTTCAGCACTGTAAAAAGGCAGTCTCACCTGTAACACGGTGGAATAAATTTCGCATATATTACGAGTAAAAAGAATGATACTACCTGTATAGATCATATATAATTGTGTGGTCATTGGAAATCAAAAAGTTACATAAGTTAAAAAATGTGTAATGGTCTGTAAGGAATCGAACTTAAGACCTTATGATTATGAGTCCAGCACATTAGTCTCTCCGCTGCTGTGGCACATAGATCAGCGAAATCTGGCTTGTTTATCGCGAATTATTCCTTCATATCATTCTGGGGATCATTTGGCACAACTGCGAGTTAGTTGACTATAAGTACCCCAAGAGCATTATCTTGACGACATTAGTGGTGTGGAAATTTGAAATATTTAGAAATAAATTCATATACGTGAGAGGCAGTACGGAACGGAATCAGAAGATGGAAACAGATAACGCATCTATTATATATATATATATGTATTACTAAAAGCCTGTGTCTGTTTGTTTGCTCGATCCAAATCGATTCCTCGGATCGGATCAGGTTGATTTTTAGCGGATCGCTAGAGAACCTTCCGAAATAAATTGGTCGGTTCTTGCAAAGTTTGCACCTTTTTTGCAGTGTTCTCCTACGAGATGTCTCTGAACTGGAAGGGCTAAATTGGCAGATTTTTTGGTGAAATTTTTGTTGAAAAATATTTTTACGACAACGTGCTGGCCGTTTATATGAAGCTCTATGTACGGGCGAAAATCGTTCTGATACCAAAAGAAAGCTTTTCAGCTGAATTAAAATGCCATGCAGATCTTTACATTCAAATCTCAGTTTTCAGATTCAAAAGGACGAAGGCCTCATACTGCCTTTTATGCAAGGGTTTTTTTTATTTAACGCCAATAGATAGATTTCGATGAGTTGAATAAATATGCAATGCATGAACCTAAAATTGATACTTTTGAAAAAAGAAAATTGCGAAAACTTTGTTGGTCGTGTTAATTTCCCTATGTAGCAGTCGAGTGAACGTACATTTCGAGCGGTTTTTTGAACGAATTTCTAATAAATGTCAATTAGAAGGTTAAGACGGAAAGAGTAAAGATGGTTCTCGCGCACATTTCTCCCTGGTTAAGTTTCAGAAGAAATCGAAAATGGCAATAGAAAAAATGTAGATATTTATTATGGAACAAGTTTAACAGAATATTGTTATTGGTGATATCCCAGGAATAGAGTCAATATAATAAAATCATTATCAAATGTTTATCAGATTCCTATTAGTAAAATATGTAACCACTTATTACAAAGAAAAAGATAAAAAAAATATTAAGTCTTGGTGGCGTTTCAAGAACACGTTCGATCTTCTGGAGAAGTTGACCCTCCTTAATAAATCTTTTATAAATCCGGGAATCGTGAAGGCAAATTAGACCAGTCTATTACGAGTTGAACTATGAATTCTTTGTAAGCCTTTCAAGCAGGCAGCTTTTTTAGACGGTCGAGTTCGGTCAGAACTGAAGCTTGAGTTCAGAATAAATGACCTGTATGCCACATGGTGCCATTACCTGACCTTGAGCTTACGTAGCTCTAACGTTGCATGTAATGAAATCTTTGGATATACAAAGTAGATAGAAGTATCTTACTATATTTCAAATGTCGAGCATACGTACGGCTAACCACAGGTGTTCGTCATCCTATGCGTTGTGGTGGCATGTGTTACGGTCGTATGCACTTACTTTCTACTTAACGCGGAGGACTACCGCTGGCCTTGGACGTCCTACCTGGCAGGAGCTTCCACTGCCGCATATGTATATCTGTATGCCGTGTACTACTTTTTCTTTAAGACGAGGTTTGTATCTATCTTTTGAAACAATTGGGACTTTGAAGGATTTCTTTAGAACGTCAGGCACACCTTTATGTATATGTCGTTGTTCTAAGACATGTTAGAAAAGTTCGCGATTATAATTTTCATATTTAATAATATACATTTCAGAATGTTCGGTTTGTTCCAGACAAGCCTTTATTTCGGCTACATGGCACTATTCAGCCTCGGTATTGGCTTACTATGTGGTATGTATGCAAAACCTCTTGGACGCGTCTAAATAGTCACAAACGCTCCTAAAATTATCGTTTATCTTCATTCAGTTGACTAATTCATATACTAAGTACAGTGATTTATCCCGCTTTTTTTAGTGTGCTAGTTTAAGCAATAGATTTAAAAAATTAAAAAAGTCCCCTCGTGCCTAAGTTAAGTCACAGCATCGCTGCACAGGCATAGAATTTCGTACCCTATTCTGACTCTGAGCTGAGGAAGGACAAAGCAATCCTTTCTGTCAATCAATCACATGTACTAGTGCAAAGGGTTGTTTGTCTGCTTCAATAAAAGTGGTACATTCCATAAAAATCTAATTATCGTGTTACCCCATGAAGCTTTATACACAACATTTCTCTTCATATAAATTCTTGTGTAGTGTGAGCAACTGTGGCAGCCTCTTCTACTTTATCTTTTCAGTTCATACCTAAAATATTTACTCAAAATTAAAAGTATTGATGTTAAATTAAGGTTTTTTTTTTATAAGTAAAAGGAAATGTAGCACCAAGATGTACTACTCATGTTTGACATTCTTACCCTATCGATCTAAATATTAACAGGTACAGTCGGATATCTAGCGACAAGTATGTTCGTTCGGAAGATTTATTCTACTGTCAAAATCGACTAATACTGGGCAAAAAGCACAATAGCATGCAGACGTCTTTGGTGTCTATCCACCCCCCGCGGGGGTTGTTCCTAGCCTATCTAACACGGCGTCGTTATTATGACGTTCGCAGTGACAGCGGGATGATCAACTTACTACTAAAACCATTTTATTCATACTTATGTTTTCTTCACATTTGTATTTGGTACACTGTAAAACTAGAGAGTATTGTAAACAGCAAGTGAATTTTTCGAAATGGGAATGAAGCGTTCAAACTTTGGTCAAAATCGTTGTATCAATAGGCGTTGTAGATGTTTACATGGCCCTCATTGCGGTTATCCATGCTTCTTTGAACCTAGAATACGCTTCTTTTCATCAAAACCCTTTTGAATTTGCATATACCATCAATAAAACGTTGCCGTTACTTAGAATTTTATTATTATTACCAACGTAATTTGCGTAGTTTAAGTCAAGCGATCTTTAGTGTGAGTATAATAGTCTACTGTGTCCCATCGGCAAATAAAATAAAAGGGTAATATTTATGCGGGACGACATGTCTATTACACAGAATTGTTAGTTCCAAAGAGTTTGGTAGGCGAGCAATAGTAATCACTGCTGCACATACTGAAAAGCCGCCACATAATTTTGCCATAATTTTTTGTAAATGATGTATTCGTCAAGTTTGTTTAGCAAATGATACTGTCAGCAGTATTTCCTTCGGAAACTGTATGATGGTTTAGATCGGTCGTTTCGATACTTCGATCAAAAAACACAACTGAATATGCCTATCTCAAACAGATATACATCCAGAAAGTTAGCCAAAATTTGCCCATAGGTCTACTAGAACCAAACATTGGCCCTAATATTTATTGAACAGGAATGTAGTTTAAAAATAATTATACTGATATCCTTGATATATTTTCGAAAAAAACTGGGTGGTGGCAACCTAAATGAACTACCGTAGTGTTCTACAAGCATCACCAGTGGTGAGAAAGTACATCGAGTTGCTGCCGACCATGGTCTCAGTCTTTTAGAAACATCACTAAACAAGCGTTTTTTAAATGAAGCTCCTTAATAATTGGATATTACGCTCAGAGATTAACGAGTTCGTATGAACATCTCAAGCGTAAGTATGAGATGCTATTGTTTTTCTCTATCTATACGACAGTGCTTTATATGCATCGTTTAATTTATTCTATATATTGAAAACTCAAGAGTTTACAAGTTTTGCTTCCAAGTTTTTTTCATTTCCCAGTTAAATGCTTCCTAATGATCTGTCAATTTAAATATACGAGGTTTTGAATATTCGCATTAGCATTCAGCAATTTACGGAACTTGATTTAGGGCTTTTTACGGCTAACTTTATTCCCATTATATAGCTATTTTTCCCAACGGTAAAACGACCTGTGCCCCACTTCGTGCAACGAAATTGAAAACAACAAAGTCAAACGTGTGGTGTAGCTAGATATGGTGAGGACAAATCGAAAATATAAAGAGTAGATGCGACAAGTTGTGAGTCTCGTAGTGGGTGTAATACTCCTACCCCCTCTCGCTTCCGTTTCTTGTACAGAACTTACTAGTTGAAGGAGAAAGAGTCATTTGTAAATAGTAACGTTGAGCATGACTAGTGAAAATAATATTTACATCAAAATGATGAAAACAATACATGAGAAGGTTCGACCTTAGCGAATGTACACCAAAGCGCGGTCATTTTTAGGAAATGGTCGGAGCAAACTATTTCTAAGCATGATATAAAATTAGGTAACGACCATGGATTAAATGTAGTGTACATATTGTGGATCTACGGAACAGATTCGAAATGAATAATTATTGACAATAAATGGATTCCACAATCAAGACTTGACGGCTATTGTAATAGTAATAGGCTTATTCAAACTGAAGTGAGTGGTACGCTACAGAACAGGAACAATGGAAATTTACTATATTTTAAAAATGGTTTGAAGTGTGACATTTTCAAGCGTGTAAAAGGTAAATAAAATTAAGTTGATGACGATGACGTTTATTTAAACTTCGATAACATATATATATATATATATATATATATCTATATAATCGATAAAAGTGACTGTTCTATTTATGCAACAGGTATATTAGCATGTTATTAGTTTACCACTGAATTTTTTTACTCTTCAGTGTCGAAATGTGGCACTTTCTCTTTGTACGATTACAGTTATACAGGTAAAGGAAGACACTTTCAGTATTTCACACATGCACCTGACCGGCCTAAGGAGTTCAACTAAAAATCTCTACTTATGTTTCAGTGGCGGTAAATCGCAATACATCGGTTGCAAACAACGTTAATGAATAGTACTTAGCGTGCAGATTCTTATTCTCTAAAATAGACCGATAACTCATTGCATGCTATAATTTTATAAAAAAATAGAACCAATAAAAATATTTTACATGGACTGAGCATTGAAAAGTATTAATTTGCCAAAAGTTTTTACACGCCAATTATGAAACAAGTTGACAAAGACACAAACTTAAAAATTCACGATTTTTTTCCATTGAGAGCATCGTAGAAGCCTGTAGAGGACTTCTAACTTATAAAAGATGTCGCGAAGTAAATCGATAGTAAATATGCTTGTCTATAAGACGCCACTTTTAGAGTATGGAAAGTCCCGTAATCACATGGGTTAGAGCGAGTGTCGAAGTCGCTCAATCCGAGAAATAATTAAAGCACGCCGACGAGGCCTGGCGTCGTCATCAAGTAAGTAGGCTGCGTGCTTTCAAATGCCATCCATAAGTTATTATTATATTTATATATTATATATATATATATAGTCCATATTAAAAAACACAGTAAGCTGCATTTGTTGTCTCATATCGAACGAGTATCTTGTAGTAGGAAATGCTCTTGATTCCGCTGCTATGAATATTACCATCAACAGGCGACCGAACCTACTCCATTTCTCCACACGCCGTTCTTTCACCTGATCTTCCCCCGGCTGGCGCTAAAAATCCAACCATATTTATGGCGACCATATACTTAAGGCGGGTTCTTATTGATGAACACTACACGAATAGTAACTGGAGTACATCGCATACATTACAGAGGACCCATATTTTACTGTTTTCGCTTTTTCAGTATCTGGGTTATAACTCTGTAACACCTTATATAGTTGCCAAGTTTGCTTCACAGAGCTCGGAGCTTTGCTTTCATAACGAATTTGCTCAATTGCGACGATGCATTTTTGTCCTTCTGGCCCTCAGATTTTGTGACCCTCGCTGATTCTCAACACCCTAATTTCCATCCTTGAAACGTTTGCACCATGCACGTACTATACTTTAGCTTAAGGAGTCCTTGCTTGATGTTTTCATCAATCTTCGATGAACTTTCACAACGCTGTGATCTTCGAGGAACAAAAATTTGACTAAGGGTTCACTTCCAGGACTAAAAATTTTTTTCTGAACATATGTCTTTTGGAAATAAATTGAATTAGTTTTTCACTGACGGGCATCACCATGCTAACGAACATCTGACAGCTAACCCATTCAACCTACCGGGTTTCTACTCTGCGCATTGCCTGGCACTGAAGAACAATGGACGAGGCCGTTCGAGTAGAGGCATTTCGGTGTTTCACAATGATGAAGAAGGTGACCTCACGCTATGCTTAACGGAAAATAATGTGAATATCTTACATGGCTAATAACAAAGCCTTGTAGCAACCTATGTCCGGTCAGCTGGATTCTCATTCAACGTACGCGCTGGTAAGGAAACCCGTCGTCAGGTTTGGAAATGACGCTTCCTCATTCTGCCTCTTTTTGACCACTGTGTACGATTTCAACCGCGCCTCGACTAGCCGAATTCGAACTCCGTTTGATCTTTAAGAGAGGTGCTAGCGGGCTACAGTTGCGCGGTAGTAAATCATACCTTAATACCAGCTTTCTTGGGATATTAAAAAGTATGATTATCGATATATTGGTAACGACCGTAATCAGGGGTCAAATAAAGTATTAAGGTGCGAATATTTTACTTTCAGAGGACGCAAGTATCCGAGCTCATTTACGCGTAGCAACAAACCTCATTGTCGAAGTCGCTTTTACACGAACTACCAGAGGCCAAGCTCCGTCGTGACGTCCAGAAGTGGAACGGGCCTCTGAAGTTGCTCCGGCATATGACGTGATGAATGCCAAAGCGTATGCAAAGCATGTAGACAAAATTATACATACAGCACCTCCGTTCCTTTAGTAAGCACAAACCGTAATTTGATTGTACATATCATCCTGGGAAAGCCACATAGATTCAGAGCAAAGCAGCAGGTGTGCACTGTTTCGAAAGCCGATTGCAACAAAAAAGTCACCGGTTCAAAGGGAGAGCTCCTTCGTGCTGGAAAGCACTGTTTAATCAGTTTTGCGTACCGGCATACCGAGCCCAGTCGGTGAATGCTACTCTGATAGTCACCTCTAAAGGGAAAGATATTCAACTGACCCTATAATTGGGAGAAATCAGCAGGACAGGCATTTGTGAGGAGTGGTTGGTTAAAAGTTGAACATCTACTAGGAAAGCATACATGCAATTTCAATAGATCAACATTGGTTTTAGAGGAAATGCTCTACAGAAGCAGCTTGCAAAACCTTGATGGCCAAGTTAGCACTGGCTGCGCCACGATCCGCTGTTGCGATGTTTATTGTTTTTAAAGGAGCCTTCGACTCGGCGCCCAGGAATCAGGTTATGTTCATACTTGCCGAGAATTTCCGTATACACATAATCAACCTACTTGCTGGCGAGGCGGCGAAATCTCTCAGACAACTATTTGGCCCAAAATGCTACCTCAGTGAGCTTTTATTGTTTATCTTACTGAGAATAAGAAAACTGAGATAGTTATTCGAAGTTGCAACAGGTTTCCGGTGCAACAAGGTCTGCTTCGATTCCAAAAAAGTCACAGTGTCGAAACCAACGCTAAACTGACCGAAATGAAGATAATAAAATTTCGACAGGAAGGCAAAACAACAGCCCCTGACATCTATAATCTCACCGGGATTAACGCTCTCTTATGTTGACCATATCCTATACGTGAGACTGCTCCTCTCCTTCAACAGCAGAAGTTCCATTGCTCTCCGAGAGATGAAGAAAAGCAGTTTCGGTCGCGTGGGCCACTATAGTCTTATCATTTGTTCTTCGCAAACGGTGTCAACTTCTTCTTACCCCGAAATAGCTCCAACTGAAACTTAAGGGGTACGCGTAGTCTGAGAGGATCTCACAACCTAAGACCTCGAAGAATTAAATCGGGTCGAAGCGTCTATTCTCGAGAGCGCACTTGGAATTCACACAGCGACCCATAATCGCCTAGCATATCTACTAGCTAACTCATCAATACTGTTTAAGGACCTGCATCGCTGCTTCGAGCTCTCAACAACACCAGTTTTTAGGAACTGGGAGAAAAATCGCGAAAATGAATGGGAACTTTTTCAGTTCGGGTGCGATGAGAACCAACAAATAAACAGGGATAAATCGGCTAAAAAAAGAAGTCGTGACTTTCATTGTCGTGCATGAGTTCCACCGAGGCTCAGCAGAGAACAAGGCTTCACGAGCCTGATGAAATGCGTACATGCTTTAAATGAAAAGGAAACGGTGGTGCAATATCATGCCGCTCGTGACCCTCTGATATCATCTTCAAGACATCCGAGAATTGTACATCAACTCGATTAGACTCAATTAATCCATAGAACGTGAATAGTTTTAATTGTCCTATATTACCTTTGATCTTCTGATAACGTTTTGTTAACCTGTATATATGAAATGCTTGATGCATCTACTAGCATCAAAGGTGATGAGATTTGATTGGTCTCCGTAGAAGGGTAAATCGCGTTTTTTTCGACGGAAATTTATCTTACTGTAATGGCCTCTTGGCTACACGCCGGGAATTTCCGTGTCTCTGAAGAGCACCTTTGGCACACCTCCGGTGAACTGACTATATTGTGCTTTACAATTCTCTATACCTTATTCAAAATTTGTTTTGGCTTTAGATGGAGATACCTTAGGAATACATTGTGGTCTAAATTGGAACTCGGGCATAGATACATTTCGTTTCGTGCTTGGAGCCAACCGTCTGGTCGAGTATCAAACGGCGCTTCCACACATAGAGCTCGAAATAAAGGTGGAGGTACCCTTGCTAAATGCCCTCCTATCGATACGATTTCTAGATGTGAAAGAAAAGAATGTTTAATAAACTCCCCCATCGACGGTCGGTGTTACCGTTTCTTCTTATAATACGCTTCTCGGTAAGCTATTTAATGATTCGACCTCATGGAGATGTGTTACTCGGAGCCTCTGTTCAAATAACTTTATGCATTATGGCATAATTATTTTATCTCTGCGACGTAATGCATTTCTGGGTATTAAAGAAGTATAACAACATTACCAGAACGAAATATTTTACAGCATTGTATTATACATACTGCCTTATAGTGCACTTCAGGTATAGGCTAGCGATATGGACTAGCTTTATATACATCACATCTCAAAGCTACTAGACGCGTTTTCCTAGAGGTTTAAGTCTGTGGTTGAAAGGGGCTAGAAACGCCGCTTCAAGTCTCGCCGATGACAAATAAAAACTGCACAATTTGTGTGGGCAAAGAACGTTATTTAATGTCAAGAGAATCCGAACGAACCGATTCCGCATTCGCGAATAGTATCCATGTGTTCCCTCGTATAACATGGCCCAATTTGTAGACAATATAGAAATGAGATAACTGCGAATTTTTTGTATAGATTATTAAAAGTGAGTCACCGAGAACGAATTTAAACCAATGTTGACAGGATCGCGTCGAGCTCCTACATAATTTATTATCTAATTACTGTTGCAATCAAAACGAGATGAGCCTTACCATATTTTAAAACGATTTTGAGTAATTTACTAGCACAGACGAAATATTAACATTAGTAGTGCGCCGGGATACCATCTAGGATTATAAACAAATCTGCATAGCGTGCACATGTTTCATCTGCCCTTGAAATTTTAGCACGGCATGCTCAAGGCA